CCTGCACGGCATCGTAAACACACCTCCGAACAGATTTAATCACACTTGCACGGAATCGTAATCACACCTACTAACAGATTTAATCACACCTGCACGGAATCGTAAACACACCTCCGACCAGACTAATCACACCTGCACGGAATCGTAAACACACCTCGGAACAGATTTAATCACACCTGCACGGAATCGTAATCACACCTACTAACAGATTTAATCACACCTGCACGGAATCGTAAACACCCCTCCGAACAGGTTTAACACACCTGCACGGAATCGTAAACACACCTACTAACAGCTTTAATCACACCTGCCCGGAATCGTAAACACACCTGTGAACAGATTTAACACACCTGCATGGTATCGTAAACACACCTCCGAACAGATTTAACACAACTGCACGGAATCGTAAACACACCTACTAACAGATTTAACACACCTGGACGGAATCGTAAACACACCTACTAACAGATTTAACACAACTGCACGGAATCGTAAACACACCTACTAACAGATTTAATCACACCTGCCCGGAATCGTAAACACAGCTCCGAACAGATTTAACACACCTGCACGGAATCGTAAACACACCTCCGACCAGACTAATCACACCTGCACGGAATCGTAAACACACCTCCGAACAGGCTTAACACACCTGCACGGAATCGTAAACACACCTACTAACAGATTTAATCACACCTGCCCGGAATCGTAAACACACCTCCGAACAGATTTAATCACACCTGCCCGGAATCGTAAACACACCTCTGAACAGATTTAACACACCTGCATGGTATCGTAAACACACCTCTGAACAGACTAATCACACCTGCATGGTATCGTAAACACACCTCTGAACAGTTTTAATCACACCTGCACGGAATCGTAACAACGGTGTAATGACACAGATAAAACATACACGTTTCCATTGCAGGAAATATAACAGCAATTGTTTGATTACAAGTTTTATATTTACTCTCACGCCACATGTATACGTGCGTAACAAGAGGTCACATATTACATAGTATACATTGATGGACATAGTACACACATAATATGACACATGATACAATTTATAGAATAACAACACATTTCAATAATTATTTTAGCTAACTTATTTTCGATATTAAGTAGCTTCATTACTCTTTGTATAAATTTACTTACTTTTGTTAAAAGTACCGTGTTACATATTGAGAAAATTCCTTTCATTTTGATATAATTTGGGTTGACATAATAATAATTTGGTATATAAAGTTGTCTAAGAGCTACAACAGATACATTAGTACATTGGTATAAGTAGTGATATTCGTTTCCAACACAGTTATTACATAGGGGACATAACCTTTCCTCGCGTGGGACTCTATTCTGTTTCTATAGATAAAAAATATATATAAATATATATAAAAGATATGGTTCAATAGTAAACTGATATTTGAATAAGGAGTAAACTTACCCTCGCGAGGAGGTTTCAACATCATGAAACCAACTTTGAATGAATTGATCGCATAATATCTGCTTAATGATAGTTTTCAAGCATTGTCTATTAATTGTACATGATATATGGAAAGTCCATAAATTATTAAATCCAGTATTGTTAAAATATCTCGTACATACGTTAACCATTTAAAACTTAATACAGAATTCTGGTGCAAATGGTCCACCCGTTATAAGCTTATGCCAGAACATAACCATTCTATCACTGATTTCAATTTCTAGGGGATACCTTCCCAACTCACCATATACCATATAATTTGGGGTGCTCTTTCCTTACAAAACTGTAAATGCATTTTTTCGATACTTTTCGTATTTTCATAGCCCCAGATTTCACATCCATATAATAAAATAGGTGACACAAGTGCATCAAATAATTTCAGTTGAAGATCTACAGGAATGGAAATATTTCTAATCTCAATATGCAATGCATATAAAGCTTTAATTGCTTGCTTTGTTAGTTTACTTTTGGCTTTTGTAAAAATTGTAGTTTAATATTATTCCAAGATATGGGTACGAATCTTGTATTTCTAAAATCTCATTATTTAACGAAAAGGGATGGTCTCTTTTACTTTTTCTTTTTTCAAAAATCAAAATTTTAGTTTTTTGTGTATTAACTGTTAATTTCCATATATTACAATAATTTTGGAATTCATTCAATGCGTTCTGTAGGCCATCTGGTGTTTCTGACAAAAGCACTGTATCATCAGCATATGATATAATAAACAATTTTAAGTACAAACCTAAATGTTGATCACTAAGAGCATACACTTCATTCTAACAAGAAACATTACGTTGATTGAGGAAATCCTCTAGATCGTTAAGAAAGAGGGAAAACAAAAATGGCTATAAGTTTTCTCCTTGTTTTACCCCGACATTGCACATGAAAAAGTCGGATGTATCATTGCCATTAATTACGCATGATTTGGGTTTTTTAAATAAATTATAAAGGACTTTAAATATTTTGCCCGTAATGTTACTATTTTGTAATTTTCTCCACAAGCCTGCTCGCCACACCGTATCAAAGGCCTTTTTAAAATCAACGAAAGGACAATATAACTTTTTACCCTTTGAAAAATATAAAGAAATTAGGGAATGCAATATAAAATGTTTTCGGTAGTGGAAGATCCTTTCGAAAACCCGCTTGGGTGGAGGATAAGGTTTAACCTATCAGATAATTTTGTTAGTCTACCATTAATTAATTATAGAGGTAAATACTTTTCCCAAGCATGACACCAGAGTTATCGCCCTATGATTATCCGGATCACCCTGGGTACCTCTATTTTTGTATATAGGTTTAATAATACCAACTGTCCATTCTTGGGGTATTAACCCAGTGTTGAGAATGATGTTGAAAATTTCTGTATATAAAGGCAAAAACTGATTGAGAGTATTTTTTATATATTCATTCCGTATTTCATCGATTCCGCTCCCTTTATTATTTTTAAGCTTTCTATCGATCGAATAATTTCCGTTTCGGTAATTTCAGCATTGAGACCTATTTTGAATATTCCATAGGAATTTTGGACTCTCCTTTATTGAATCTCTTGTTTTCTTTTCCATGTTGAATGTATAGGTTTTGTATGCTTTATTTACCTCTTTCCTGTAATTACGACTTTTCCTTTTTAAGGCGTGCTTGTTAACATCATTTTTTAATTTACGATAGTTCTGTTTGGCTTTGTGAAATTCTTTTCGAAACTTTTTACAATTTGATGTAAAACCAAGGTTTGTTATTTTCATGAATGTTTCCGCGGTAAATATATTTGCAACCGAATGACTGGTTGGCGGACGTAGTAAATATATCTGTGATATTTTTAGTTACATCATTAATTTCTGCATTAGTTATATGGTCGGTTTCCTTAGCTTTCAAATGTTTAACATACTCGTTCAGCGTAACAAGTTTATTATCATGATCATCTGCAATAAGATTAGTAAACGAATTACTTAACTTAATTGATCCTTCCATTTCACATAACAACCGTTTTTGTCGGTTGCATAAGGATTTTCGTATAGAGTACGTATGAGTTACAGAAATATCAAAACATTGGTTCCATTTAATAGGAATATCACACCAATGGTTTGATATACAAATATCAATCATTTAACGGGATACTGATTTTTTTCGTGGTCAGATATTTTGGCTTTTGATGTAGAAGTTGATACTATAGCATAAATACTCCCTTTTAGAATATCAAAATAATTCAAGACTACAATGGTTTTGACAACAAATTCATCCATGTTTAAAGTAGGATTAGTGACAAGTCCACTCTGTACATTTTGCAATTTGGAACAAGAAACAATCATTCATTTCATATTTTGTGGGAATGTCAAGAAGTACAGAGATATTTTACAAAGTTTTGAAATATTACTAGATGCACTTTTTTTATTCAATTTCATTAAATAAAATCAGTTTTCTTTTTGGATTATTGGTACCAAATGACAAACTGACATATAATAGATTTGACAATGAAAGTTTTACATTAATTAGACAAAATGCCGACATCAAATGTTGAGCCCCAATGCCTTAGTTAATATGATTAAAGAACATTATGCTGTTCAAAAATATAAGAACGGAGAAAATGGCTAAAAATATTATACTATGCAGTATAGTGTATATTACAGAAATCAATCACGATTAAACTTATGCAAAATTTTACCCATACCAAGCTAAAATCAACTATCAATATTTTACATAATCTCCGTTCTCCGTCTTCCATTGATTCTTAGATCATTTTTTTTATATAAATTAACTTATTTAAAAAAAAAAAAGTTTTACTTGCCCAGTATATCTCTCTCATGATGATGATGATGTTTGTAACTATACATAGATGATGATGAAGATGATGATGATGATGATGTTTATAATGGTGCATAGATGATGATGATGATGATGCTTGTAACTATACATAGATGATGATGAAGATGATGATGATGATGATGTTTATCATGGTGCATAGATGAGGATGATGATGAGGATGATGATGATAATATAGATGACGCTGATTATGAATAATGATGAGGATGATTGAGAAACGTGTGCCTCTGTCTATAAGTATGTGTGTATTGTCTGCTTGTCTATTTACAAAGAAAAATGAATACTACAGTAAAATCGGGTATATCTACATCACTTCTGCTATTCGTTGACAAAGTAAGCTGTACTTAAAACATGATTAAGGATACGGCACCGAAACAACTGCAAGAGAAGAACATACGAACGAACTTTTTTTTCTGTTACCATCAGATAGGTCAGCCTGATGGTGAAACGTATATATTGCTTTATTTTGTTTAGGTCTACGCCATTGCAAATGTCAAATGAAGACTAGGGCCTAGGAAGTCACCGCCGCTAAGTTTTCTCATATAATAAGTCAGCAAGGAAGTGAAAGATGGCAATTTATGTGCAGAGGAAACGAGGTGGTCAATTTCATTTTTTTGTTTATGGGACTACTTTTTTTTTGTAGAGACGTCCATTTTTTAGTGTTCGAGTCACCTAACTAATGTTACTTGGAAGAGGAAGGATAAAGATACAGTTATCCCGGTGGATTTTATAGGTCAACAAGGACTGAACTGGGCGGTATGTTACTGCTGAGGGATCGGGTCAAATCGAAAAGCACGTGTCGATACCATCAGACATCAAGGAGTTGAAGACACCCACACAAAGACGTGACGAACTGCCCAAACAGAGACCAGCTCTTCAGCCAGGACAGGCGTGTTCCCTGTACTATAAGTGGCATGCGACCAATTTCTCTAGTAAGATTTTACGTAAGCTGTAACACGAAACGGAATTGACGTAGGTAGGGTCTTAATGAGGATGCTGTGTTCCCAAACAACGTTACAAATAACATTATTAAAGATACGTCCATCATACACGTCCCGTCAACCGGTATAGACAGCTGTGTGAGAAAAAGCGTTGTGTAAGAGAACCCAATCATGGAATTCTCGCGTCGTTATAAACTCGAGATAACCAATATCATGCGCGGGATACTATTAAGGTCGCGGTGTTTCAGTAGGTGATCATTGTGCAAGATGGCAACGATGTGTTCAGTGTTACTGTGTCTACTGCTAGCCAACCTGGCGTTGGCGCAGAATTCAACATCTTTGGAGGACAGATTTGCAGCTCTGGAACGAGAATTTGCATTTGAAAAAGCTAGTCTGCGGTCGGAATTAAAGTCCACAAAAGATGACCTGGAGATTACACGTTCACAACTTCGGATTACGCGATCACAACTACTAGACACTCGAACAGAAATAAACGCAATGCAACCAACTAAAATTAACGACGCGGAAACTACGAATTTAGATATGGAAGATGAACATTCTAATATGCAGACTTCAGATGTTTTTGACTGGAATAAAGCTATAAAATCGCGTGCATTATCTCAGATTCTTGATAAGTGGGTAAAGAAAGCAACAACAATCCTAACGAAGCCATGTGAACACGCACAAGGCGACCACAGCCAAACTAAACAAGGACCGGAACTTCCAATTGCATTACCGAAAACAGCAGCACAGAACCAACCCATATCATCCATGACCCTTTCTGAACCTCGCCGACGAAGTAAGTACAAATAATCCGTATAATTTAAATTTTTGACATGTTGAGCTTCAATAATTATTTTGGCTTCTCTATAAAATTCTGTATTGCGATGTTTTCCATTTTGGATATAGTGTCGTCCTTGTATATTTTTGTGATTGTTTTAAATGAACATTTTATCTCAGAAATAATAAGAGTTGTACATATACATATTGTCATATTCCAGGCCGACGGAATGCAGATAGCCAGCAAGTAACGGCATTCCATGCTGAGCTGGGAATTCCTGCTGAAAATCTGAGGAGTCAACAAGCAATCATATTTGACTCCAGCACTCTGAACATCGGTCTGGGTTACAAAGAAGATTCTGGGATCTTTGTATGCCCCGAGGCGGGTATCTACTACTTCACTGTAACTATCATGGTATTTCCCCAAGAGAAGGTTGAAACCGAAATGGTTATAAACGGCGATCAAGTGTTGCTGGCGTATTCGGCGGGGACCACTGGATTTAACCAAGGAACAAGTTCTACTGTTGTGCGTCTGGAAGACGGGGACCTGGTGTGGGTTCGAATCCTTGATAACCCGGCATTAAATACGGGTGTTAACATACGTGTAATGGGAGGTGGCTGGAGCACATTCACGGGGTATAAGATTAAATAACAACATTGAAATGTACTTTTGCGTGAGTAAACAGTTTGGTTTTTAGCTATTTATTTTGACTTTTCATTCATTTAAATACAATTCAGCAGATATTCCAATAAGATTTGGGAAATGAAAACTTTTTGAAATTTGTTAAGAATTAAAATCACATTTAAATGTATGTTTCTTTGTGCTTCGTAAAATGAATTGCAATAATTGTCCTGAGTCAAGGGCCTCATCAAGTGTCCTCTTCTTTTAACACTGTAACATTTAATATAATCAAAATATAATCAATAAAAGCCCCTTTTAATTTAACACCTTCGCTGGGTTTCCAGTAGTAGGGAAAACAGCAACAATTGATACTGAGGAAAACATTAAAAGTGTCAAAATTTTAAATGGCCGCTAAAATGTTTGTATTTTAATGTGTAAACTTTTTCATCGTATTTTTCATGACATGTCATAAATTGCTTTCATTGTCATAAGCTTGTATGGTATTTTAGTGGCACTTCAAATCTTTTATTAATCGCCAATTCATTACTTCAGTACATAAATGTATATTTCACATATCCTGCGAGCTGCTACTAGCATGTCGAGTAGAATCTCAGAAATATTTTGATAGGTCGAGTTAATATGTGTCAAGACCCTTGCTTAAAAAGCTGAGTTATATGTGTTAGACCCAACGCTTAGAATATTGAGTTATCTGTGTTAGACTATTACATGGAATGTTGATTTATATGCAATAAAACATTGCTTAAAATTTCGAGTTATTTGTTTCTGATGCTGGCTACTGCATGTTGAGTTGTGTTTCATTGATAACACGTATCAATTGTAAGAGTTACATACCGTATGAGGAAGTAACACGATGCGAAATAACACTGTAAATTGTTCACTTTCATATTTGGCCATCTTGTTGGCAGGAACTACATGTCCTGTGATACGTACTCATAAGCTAAAGTCGAGGGACGGGCTTAATTCTTTAATGGTTGGCCAACGTATTAAATTGGAAAATTCCATTAAACACGGTTGCGACATGTTCAACCTCGATATTAAGTCTTGAATATACAAAGCTACATACGTATTAAAGGTTCTGATATGTTCAATACAGCATAACATAACAAAGTTATCATCTGTAAGATTATCTAAGATCCATATATTTACCCACATACAGGTTACGTAAATATGGAAGCAATCGGCCTTCGTTAACAAAAAATTCCAACAAGTTCTCTCCCCGTCGATATATACATGTATTCCATCCTATAGTACACAGACATATATAATGATTATTTCTTAGATAGTTTGCTGTAGAAATAAACCCACAGTACGTGGTACCAACTAGCAATCGTAAAACATCATTTTATCACTTCATTGAAATATTTGTTTTGAAACAATTGCAAAACAACATTTAAATATCATTACTATAGATTATGTTCGAAAAGACGACTAGTCCAAAAATTGTAAGCAATAGCCAAAAGTCGGTTCCGCTTCAATTGTTTACGTTTTGATCATTCAGTTATCTTCTACACAGATAGTCAGAAGGGTCATAAGGTCAAGGCCGTTGCGATTTTATACACCAACAGGCTTCGATTACATTACAAACGTCGGCAAAATGGCGACCAGGTCGTTGTTTATGTGTGTTTTGTTGGTCAACTTATCATCGGCACAGCCGTCCGATTCTTTAGAAAGCCGACTTGAAAAGATGGAGCAACAGTTTATCCAAATGAAGTCGGAGCTACAGACGACGAGGGATGACCTGGAGGCCACGAGGTCACAATTACGAGATTATCAGGCTAAAGTGGAGGAAACTCGAACAGAAATGGCAGTTATGGGCCGTAGTACGTTATCTTCGATTTGTTCATATATTGAAAATCACATGTAATATGAATTTTGAATCCTCAAGATTAATCTTGTTCAAGGATGAAGCTTTTCGTTTTATTATTTTGGTATGATACATGTTAAACATCTCTTCTCCTTATGGTAGGAAAACGCGATACCTCGTTTCCCCGAAAGCAATCGTGTTTCACGAGGGCGAAGGTAAAATAAAATATTAAAAGTAAGGAAAGTCGAGCACGTGAGATTAATCAATATAATTCTATCAGACACGCTTTTATATACATGAGGTACAATTATATAACATATGTTATACATATTTCTGGGATGCTACAATCTTGCAAGCTATAAAGATTGACCAGTACGTACATCGAACCAAATAGTATTGCTTTTTATTAGTGTTTTTATAGTTGGTCAATATAGCACATATTACCCAACTGTGCGTTTTGTTCCAGGTCGCCGTGTCATGTATGGTCAAAAAACGGCATTTTCTGCTCAAATGAGACCTAGCATTGACCATCTGGTCATCCATCAAACAATCGTCTTTGAATCCGTGGTTCTGAATGAAGGGGGGGCTTATGACAACCTTACAGGAGTGTTCACGTGTCCTGTCGAGGGAGTGTATTATTTCTCTGTCTCCATCATGTCTTGGACAGACGAGGACATCGAGACGGTACTGGTTGTAAACGGTGGTCGAGTGGTGTCTAACTATGCCGCTGGTCAGCAGCACTTCAATGTGGGCTCTAGCTCTGTAGTGGTAAGGTTAAAGGTCGGAGATAAGGTCTGGGTACACGTTGTTCCCAGCCTCAATAACCCTCCCAATATACGAATGATTGGTAGGGGCTGGACAACCTACACCGGCTTTATGATCTGAATTGTTTGTTAGTTCTTCACAAATAAATGGAAACATAGCTAAAGTGTTTTATATTGTTTTTGAATAAACAAACGTATACTGAATCAATTCTATTATATTGTATTACTTTTAATTGCCCTTCTGTGGACCACGCTCGGCCATTTCGTCGAGAATGCGGCGGGAAAAGGCGAAGAAACCCGATTGGAACTCATACCTGTCATCAATGGGAACCAATGAGCCATATCCGCAGGTCATACTTACGTAGCTGTACCAAAGGTCCTTTCTGTTTGAATAATATAAAAAAAACTATGGAAACTTCGCCATGTGGCAGATCGTACTTTTCCTCACTTGAACCGTCAAAAACAATGAAGACCCATGTTTTTACCCGACACGTCGTGCAGTGTAAGTCTCATAGGAATTAAATTCCAACACACAGTCTGTCAAGATGCTACCTGGCGAATATCCCAAGCTGGATAGCTGTTTTGATATGATCATTATTGTTAGACGTTGTTTTGTTGTCACTATACCCCAGTTCTCACTATGAGAACATAACATTTATTTAATTCTTTATTTGTTAAACGATGATTACAAACAGTCCAAGGGCAACATAACATTACATGTACTTTTATTTGACCTAGATTTACATTCTATTCTCCTTGTACATTTTCAAAGGTCTTAATATAAATCTTTCCTTTTCCAATATTAATTATGTTTTTGTTTTATCGATTTTGAATTCAAATTACGGGTTTGTCGACATTGCAGTAATTCGTTGTTTTTTGTTTTGCTATGTTTTTGTATGTGTGTTGTTGATGTTTTCTTATTCTATCCATATCTAACTTAAACTCGCGAATCTTTACGACCGGAGCTCGTATTCATAAAACCATTCTTATGTTCAAGCATGATTTTTTAGCTCAAACCAATTTCTGATAACTCGCTAAAATTGTAAGACACATTCAAAAACTAAGACCTGTATATTAAAAATGCTCAAACTCAGATTCTCTGTTCAAGCCCACTTCTTGTTCCGGTTATTTAAGGAATGACCAAGATTTTGTTTTGGTATATACCGGAAAAAAATGTGCACTTCGCGTTTTTTGCAAAAAAGTGCACAACATTTTTTTCGGTATTTTTACGTAAACTAAACAATTAATTGCGCTAAAAAAAAGCTGCGTTGTAATTTTGCATTCTGAAGTGTAAAAAGTAGTTCCGTCATCAGTTGTTTTTCTTTTTAGGTATATACGATATATACCAAAAAAAATATGATGGGGGAGACAGAAATTAAATTAAAAATGAATAAAAATTGACATTTTGTCAATGATTAAGAAGAAGTTTTTGGCGGTTGAAAGTCGCACACTGTTTTCAATATTTACACTTTACTATGACACGGAATTTAAAAGAGTTGTAAGAAAGTACGTGTGAGCTCATGATCAGAACCAATGCTTGAGCATAACAAAGGTTTCATGAATAGATGTTGATTACTTAGGCTGAATAATTAGCTGTTGCAGTTGTTCAGCTATCCGCTAGGATTTGTTCCCAAAAATACGACGGTCTATCAAACCAGCCGTTTTCAACTGAAGGTTACAGTATATGTTACCGACCGTTTTATTTTGAAGGACATATCTGCGTGTTAGCATATGTGCATTCCTCAAAAACAATTATGTAGATCTGTTCCCGTCACTGTTATTCTTAAATTCATTATCATTTTCGGTGTATATAAAAATCCTATCTTTCGCCAACAGTGGCGCAAAGATAACATGAATTAAAGTGACATGGTCTGCTTATTGTCCACGGTTTAATTCAAAAACGCATGTTAACGTGAAGTCATTTATCCAAAGAAGCTTATATAAAAATAAATAGGTGGATATAATAGGTCTGCGTTAAGCGATCTTGTGATTGCTTGTAACACTGTTATATGGGACAATGGTGTCAGTTGTTCTAAGGGACATTGCAGGTGTCAGGTTTTAAGGGACACTGCAGGTGTCAGTTGCTCTAAGGGACACTGGTGTCTGTTGTAACACCGGTGTGAGTTGCTCTAATGGACACTGGTGTCTGTAGTTCTAAGGGACACTGGTGTCAGATGTTCTAAGGGACACCCGTGTATGTTGTTCTAAGGGACACTGGTGTGAGTTGTTCTAAGGGACACCGGTGGCAGTTGTCCTAAAGGACACTGGTGACAGTTGTTCTAAGGGAACTGGTGTCTTTTGTTCAAAGGGACACTGGTGTGAGTTGTTCTAAGTGACTCCGGTGAGAGTTGTTCTAAGGGACACCGATGAAAGTTGTTCTAAGGGACACCGGTGATAGTTGTTCTAAGGGACACCGGTGATAGTTGTTCTAAGGGACACTGGTGTCTGTTATTCTAAGGGACACCGATGTCAGTTGTTCTAAGGGACACTGGTGTCTGTTGTTACACCGGTGTGAGTTGTTCTAAGGGACACCAGTGTGTGTTGTTATAAGGGAAACCGGTGTCTGTTGTTCTAAGTGACAACAGTGTGAGTTGTTCTAAGGGACACCGGTGCCAGTTGTTCTAAGGGACACCGGTGTCTGTTGTTCTAAGGGACACTGGTGTCTGTTGTTCTAAGGGACACCAGTGTGAGTTGTTCTAAGGGACACCCGTGTATGTTGTTCTAAGGGACACTGGTGTGAGTTGTTCTAAGGGACACCGGTGGCAGTTGTCCTAAAGGACACCGGTGACAGTTGTTCTAAGGGAACTGGTGTCTTTTGTTCAAAGGGACACTGGTGTGAGTTGTTCTAAGTGACTCCGGTGAGAGTTGTTCTAAGGGACACCGATGAAAGTTGTTCTAAGGGACACCGGTGATAGTTGTTCTAAGGGGCACCGGTGATAGTTGTTCTAAGGGACACTGGTGTCTGTTATTCTAAGGGACACCGATGTCAGTTGTTCTAAGGGACACTGGTGTCTGTTGTTACACCGGTGTGAGTTGTTCTAAGGGACACCAGTGTGTGTTGTTATAAGGGAAACCGGTGTCTGTTGTTCTAAGTGACAACAGTGTGAGTTGTTCTAAGGGACACTGTTGATAGTTGTTCTTAGAGACACTGATGTCTGTTGTTCTAAGGGACACCAGTTTCTGTTGTTCTAAGGGACACCGATGTCAGTTGTTCTAATGGACACTGGTGTGAGTTGTTCTAAGGGACACTGGTGTCTATTGTTCTAAGGGACACCAGTGTGAGTTGTTCTAAGGGATACCCGTGTATGTTGTTCTAAGGGACACTGGTGTGAGTTGTTCGAAAGGACACCGGTGTCAGTTGTCCTAAAGGACACCGGTGACAGTTGTTCTAAGGGAACTGGTGTCTTTTGTTCAAACGGACACTGGTGTGAGTTGTTCTAAGTGACTCCGGTGAGAGTTGTTCTAAGGGACACCGATGAAAGTTGGTCTAAGGGACACCGGTGATAGTTGTTCTAAGGGACACCGGTGATAGTTGTTCTAAGGGACACTGGTGTCTATTATTCTAAGGGACACCGATGTCAGTTGTTCTAAGGGACACTGGTGTCTGTTGTTATAAGGGACACCGATGTCAGTTGTTCTAAGGGACACTGGTGTCTGTTGTTACACTGGTGTGAGTTGTTCTAAGGGACACCAGTGTGTGTTGTTATAAGGGACAACGGTGTCTGTTGTTCTAAGGGACAACCGTGTGAGTTGTTCTAAGGGACACTGTTGATAGTTGTTCTTAGAGACACTGATGTCTGTTGTTCTAAGGGACACCAGTTTCTGTTGTTCTAAGGGACACCGATGTCAGTTGTTCTAAGGGACACTGGTGTCTGTTGTTCTAAGAGACACCGGTGTCAGTTGTTCTCAAGGACACCGGTGTCAGTTGCTCTAAGGGACACTGATGTCAGTTGTTCTAATGGACACTGGTGTGAGTTGTTCTAAGGGACACCTGTGTAAGTTGTTCTGATGAACACCGGTGACAGTTGTTCTAAGGGACACTGGTGACAGTTGTTCTAAGGGACACTGGTAACAGTTGTTCTAAGGGACACTGGTGTCTGTTGTTACACCGGTGTCTGTTGTTCTAAGGGACACCGATGTGAGTTGCGCTAAGGGACTCTGATGTCATTTGTTCTAAGGGACACCGGTGACTGTTGCTTTAAGGGACACTGGTGTCTGTTGTTCTAACGGATACTAGTGTTAGTTGTTCTAAGGGACACTGGTGTGAGTTGTTTTAAGGGACACTAGTATCAGTTGTTCTAAGGGACACTGGTAACAGTTGTTCTAAGGGACACTGGTGTCTGTTGTTACACCGGTGTCTGTTGTTCTAAGGGACACCGATGTGAGTTGCGCTAAGGGACTCTGATGTCATTTGTTCTAAGGGACACCGGTGACTGTTGCTTTAAGGGACACTGGTGTCTGTTGTTCTAACGGATACTAGTGTTAGTTGTTCTAAGGGACACTGGTGTGAGTTGTTTTAAGGGACACTAGTATCAGTTGTTCTAAGGGACACTGGTAACAGTTGTTCTAAGGGACACTGGTGTCTGTTGTTACACCGGTGTCTGTTGTTCTAAGGGACACCGATGTGAGTTGCGCTAAGGGACTCTGATGTCATTTGTTCTAAGGGACACCTGTGACTGTTGCTTTAAGGGACACTGGTGTCTGTTGTTCTAACGGATACTAGTGTTAGTTGTTCTAAGGGACACTGGTGTGAGTTGTTTTAAGGGACACTAGTATTAGTTGTTCAAAGGGACACTAGTGTTAGTTGTTATAAGTGACACTGGTGTGAGTTGTTCTAAGGGACACTGGTGTGAGTTGTTCTAAGGGTCACTGGTGTGAGTTGTTCTAAGGGACACTGGTGTGCGTTGTTTTAATGGACACTAGTATTAGTTGTTCTAAGGGACACTAGTGTTAGTTGTTCTAAGGGACACTAGTATTAGTTGTTCTAAGGGACACTGATGTGAGTTGTTCTAAGGGACACTAGTGTTAGTTGTTCTAAGGGACGCTAGTGTTAGTTGTTCTAATGTCTGTTGTTCTAAGGGACACTGGTGTGAGTTGTTCTAAGGGACACTAGTGTTAGTTGTTCTATGGGACACTAGTGTTAGTTGTTCTA